AGCTTCGGTCGTTAAGTTTTTCGTGGATACAGTACGTTCAAGTACTTCAAATAATATATATTTTTTAAATATAAATGGCTTTGTTTCCCCGACAATAAGGGTAATATGACCTCATTGAACCAAAGAGAAACGGGCAAAATACAAATTTTTTTTTTGCACGCGTCTAGCAGGGATTGAATTATGGATCCAATATTATCAGCTATTGGCCAGGATTGGCCAGGTCAAGAATATCAATTCCTGGAAATCTAGCACACTCTCGGTCCATGCAGCCAGAAACAGCCAAAACGAAGAAATAAAAAAAAAACAGCAATTTTTCACTTTGGTAAGCCCCGCTAAATTCAACTCCCTCCAAATCAACCCAGAACACTTTTGACTCGATGCCATTTGCATATAATGGCAATATTATTTTCGGTCCTGATCATCCTAGTTATTAATGTATTTTCTTTAAATATAATTACCCGCGGTATTCCCGCTCCATTACCAATAATCTGATTCGAAGTTCCCTGAGCAACGAAATGCTCCGACGACGTGCGTCAAGGACTTGCACCGTTCCGCGACCAAGGAAAAAATAACTTCGCGCAGGAAATACATTTATTTCTTTATTCGACCGAAATGATTTGAAGGTCATTTCCGCATGACCTTGATTCACACGGAAGGACTCAAGTCAATCGCCGCCCATCTCATATTATTATGTTATCATTATGTAGAATATGCTAAAAGTAAAGATGGAGTTGCGGCGTTTGTTCTTGACCTCATTGTTCCATGGTACTTTACTTATCGAGAACTCAGGTGATTTTATTTATTGGTGATTTTATTATCAGTGCTTCATATTTATTCGCAATAAGGATTTCAATTGAAGTCGGATGTACGATAGAAATAAATGTGGAATAGGCACCGAGCCAACCGTGGGAAAATGCGAAAATTGGCCTTGAAGGGGACCGGGAGAGGAGAGGTGCTTGGAGGGAATGGCGCCAATGGCTCCGCTCGGTGGACTATGGAAGACGGAAGTGGACGAAAGTTGGTTGACCGGCCGGGTCGGACGACGCGGGCGTCCGCAAGGCGAGGAGGATGAAAGCGGGCGGGGGAAACGGGCCTTTTGCCGTCCTCTCGACTTCAGGGTTCGGGGAACATGCGTTTGGAGAGGGAACGTTCGAGCGCAACGAATTTAGACAGTTATCGCTGGCGCAGGAAGGAAATTCGGACGTGGAGAACACCGAGTGTGAAGCAGGGAAATTCGCATCCATTTGAGGACGACCCACGGAAATGAAAGTGACTTCGCCAAAGCCTTTCGTAGCAGGGAAAAGGGCAAAAACGTTGAAAATGCACATCGCAAAAAAACATTCAAAACAACAAACATGTTCGCCAAAGCTGGTTTCCACGCGTATGCCCCTAAACGTTCCTTCGGCTTCCACGTGGACGGCCACGACGCATTTCCCCTGGTTCCGTGAACGCTGCGGGTGTCTCCGGCCATCTGTTCCGTCACCCGAGAGATGACTCCCTGGAGAAAAATCTGTCTATATTCGTAACGTCTGCCGTGTCGAGTGTCGCGCTCCACACCCTCGAAAGGAAGACACAATGCCTAGAGGACGAGTCTCATGGGCTCAAACCTCTCCTCACCCACTTCCTTCGCATTTCCCATCCAGCCTCCATCCTCTCGATGCATCCTCCATGTCCTCCCCTCAGCCTCCATCCTCTCGATGCATCCTCCATGTCCTCCGCTCAGCCTCCATCCTCTCGATGCATCCTCCATGTCCTCCGATCAACCTGACTGTAACTGACGGGTCCCATTGTCCCCTGATCCGGTGTAATTTCTCTCCGCACTACGATGAAACAAACCTTCAACTCTGTAGATACGGACAGTTAAAGTGCAACATGAAGCATCGCGACGTTCGCGACCTTCAATGCCATCATCTCGCCCCTAAAGATCGTCCCCGCGAGTCACGTGACTTCTTCTCGAACTCGAGCGGACTCCTCGACCTCGAGCGGACTCCTCGACCTCAAGTCGGAGGGAAAGGGGAATCCATGAATCGATTCATGAATCGAAGGCTCGAAAGGAAAAAGCGGTCCATCCACAAAATAAAATCGAAAAAAAAAATCTCATTCTTTAGTACGTGTACCTCTTTTTCTCCCTTCGAGAGGATGTTCGCGAGAATCGATTCAAATAATTTCTACAAATAATTTCACAATTTACAAGATGAAATTCATTCGGAGTTCCTTCGCCCTTGCGTCCCACAATATAAATTATTCAGCGTATAAATCTCTAAGGAGCCTCCTGAATTTCCATTCGACCGTCTCGACCTCAAGCGTCCTCGAGTCTCAATCATGAAGCCCAGGTCTCAATCAGGAAGCCCGGGTCTCAATCATGAAGCCCGAGCGAGTCTATCCCAGTCTCTCTTCAGCCGATCGATTGCCGCCGTCGTCCTTCCCGCTCGACCCGGTCAATTGTGCGGGCCGCACAATTGACCGGTCCTTGGTGGGTGGTCCTTCGTCCCAGGGAGCGCGACGGTCGCGCTGCTCCGCTCCTTTTTTTTTTTTTTTTTTTTACCTGGGAAAAGACTAATGTTTGGAAGGGTCTCGCGCTGTAATGAAGTATCGGGTGAAAACTCATTACGCGGGGAGCGATCCTTCTCCCCTTCCATTCCTCCCAGATCCCGTGCCGTTTCGTCTTTCTCGTTCGGCAGCAGAAACAAACTTTCATCCAGAAATTTCTTTCTTAGCGAAAATTTCTTTCTTAATGAAAATTTCTTCTTCAACGAAAATTTGTTTCCAAGGCTTTTTCCAAATTTCGTCGCGACGAGAAATCCTCTCTCACATCCGGCAAACCGGCTTTGGGCCATCCGACGGACGAACCATTTACTTTAAATAGCAATTAACATAAATTAACCTACTTATTATCCTCGACTCGGCCAAGGAAAAAACGAGGATAAATATTCCCCATTAATGCAATTTTCTGACTCGGGGAAATCGCCCGTCACGGACAAGATTTTCCAGGCAAATTTCCCCGGAAAAGAAAAAAAACAAAAGGAATACAAAAAAAAAAAAGGATGCGACGAATCAACGTTGACTCACAGCTGATACGAGAAATGTTTAAATGGCACGAGGCCCATGAAAACGTCCCGTCGACATCCGCCGGATGTCAACAGGCCGATATCCGACCGGGCAGAATCAAGATTGACTCACCGCAGAAATGAGATTCGATGTTGATTCAGCCAGTTGAGGGAGTCAGTTGACTCAGCCAACTGATTCAGCCAGTTGAGGTAGACAGTTGACTCAGCCAGTTCATATTAGGTTTTGTTCCAAGACAAGTCTTTTATGATACGGTACAGGTTAAATAATGCGTTGTCGCATGGTACTATGAAATATGTTATAATATTGCGAGATGAAAATACGAAGATATGCGTTCCTAACATTAAAATATAATTAAATATCATTAAGATACCATCACAAATAATTGCAGCAATATAATAACACAGTAAAAGAAAAAAAGAGCCATCGGAGAAGAATTCCAGCCGAGCGTGCCATCATCATCGTCGTGAGATCAGCCAAGTGCAAATGGTTTATTTGATGAATGTCTCGAGAGCGATAGCTATCGTCGACTCCGAAAATAATCAATGTCGACCTCGCAACACAATGTCGACATTGCATCACGATGTCGACCTTGCATCAAACCGAAGGCTTCCGGAGAGCCGAATCCCATCGCATCCTTCGATTGCGACGGTCCCTGGAATTCGCGACGGTCCCTGGAATTTGCGACGGTCCCTGGAATTCGCGACGAAATGGGCAATACGCGAATTAAATAAAGAAATAAACGCTTCAAGACAAATTTGCAACGTTTCAAATTCAAATTTGCAATTTTTTTTTTTGCCTAGTTATTTTCGCGACTTTCGAAAGTAAATGATCGAAATCGGTCTTGGAATCTTCCGCCGTTATCGGCGAGGCCTTCGTCCGGCAGTAGACCGAAACTGGCTGATGATCATCGCGATCATCAGCTTGCTCAAGATGATCACGAGAAAGTGACGACAGTGGAAATGAGTGGAAATCCACTCACTTCCACTGTCGTCACTTTCCCGCTGAGAAGAAGCCAACCTTGGAACGAGAAGTTGGACGAGAGCCAAGATGGAACACGCGATCGACACAGAATCGTCAAACGGATCGAGAAGTTCCACGGTAATCAGAGCAAAAAGATACAAAAAGATACAGGACGTACCTTTTAAGGGCGACCGTGAAGTTTTTTTTCCCCGTCACACCAGGGGGCAATTCCTGAATCCTAGAAGAATGCGACGATCACCTGGTTGAAGAAGAAAAAAAAAGAGATACGGCATATTGTAGAAAAGCAGAGACCCATTAACCCGCCATCACACGTCCAGATGGTTTCGAACGCTGCGTCCTCCATAGAAATCAATTATGGAAGAGAAGTGGATCCTCCACCAATGGACGGACTGAGTCAACGAGGATCGTATCGTATGCCGCGGTGCTCCACATCCATCCAGTTATTTTTTCTGAAAGGGGCAGAGGTGAAAGAAGTTTCCTTCCTCACGTGCCAACAGCAGCATTTAAAAAGGATGAAGACGCATGCAGTGCTTTTTTCCTATTGAAAACATCCTTTGGCTTCCCCTCACAATGCCAGGGAGACGCATCTGGACTGGCATTAAAGCATGTCGTCCCAGTCTTCGTTCTTGATCATGCTTGATCAAGCTGGATATTACTGGTACTGGATATTGTGGATGCGAAGGTAGGAGAGCTTCACGACAGAGCTATTGTCAATACCACTATCACATTTTTTCATCCTTCATTGCTCTACTTTTAAATGCAAAAGCTCCAAATATGCCTTATATATCTGATTTTTGGAAACTTGGCGATTTTTGGAAATTTTCACTGCTGACATGTCAAAGGCCAGAATGTACGCAATAAGCATGTGAGAGGTGTACACACTCACTTCAACGCTGTTCCCATCCGGTCCAGCAAACATTCACCAAATTCGTCGCAAGAACTATTGAAATGCTTCCTGATACAAATGTCGGTCTTTATTTCCATACAAGCTGCGAAGATAAGGCCCAAAGAAAGAATCACGGGCGGCACGCGATCTCAAAAGAGCATTTAAAACAGCATGTGCATGGAGGGAGACGAGAGAATAAAAAAGTAAAACGGGGAGTAAAATGACACTTTCCTCTCTTTTTTTTCTTCTTCGCAGGTGCCGCAAAGATTTTGTTCTCTCTCTCTCTCTCTTTCGTTCTCTCTTGGCCTTGCCATGGACAAGATAGTGTCTGGCAAGATGGAGAGAGACAGGAATAGAATCGGATATCAAGTTCTATAAAGCATACCTTCATCACAAATCACACAATTTCAAAAGTAGTACAGCTCTTTAAAAAAAATAGGATCTAAGATATTCAGGGAAAAAGTACTTTTCTTTCACACCAGCTTTCCATAACTGTATTGGGAATTCCTCCATTGGAACTCGTCAAGGCTGATGCAAAGAGAAAGTGGTACATTTTCCAATGACTACCCCAATCCCTTTTTTTAATGCAAAGAAGGTAAGCCGGCCAGGAGTCCTTCACACATCACCGTTGACCAGCTGGGGATTTGATTCGAGTGAGGGAGCACCGACTGTCGGAGCGCCCTCGACCACAGAGACGTCATCTTTGTCCGGAGCACCAAAGTCCACCAAGGCGCAGTCAGTCGCCGGAGCACCCTCCGAGACCTGGGTCCCGTCTTTTCCCGGGGACTTGCTTTCTGGAGTCTTGGAAATTTTCTTGGCTTCTCCTGCCTTTGGCTTGGAGGCCCCAGTGGCTGCTCTGGGGCTTTTTATAGGAGACACCTTTGAGGGTGCTGCTGGCTTCCTGGAGGCCTGAGGCTTGCTGGGCTCCTTGGCCGTCGACGGCTTGGTCGCAGCCGGTTTGGATGTTGCACCTGTTGCAGTTGTGGTTGCAGTTGCAGTTGCTGGCCGGGCTCGGGTCACGGCCGAAGCGGGCTTCGACGTGGGATGTCTTGCAGTCGTCATCGTGGATGTCCTGGCCGTTGGACGTTTGGTTGCGCCAGCAGTGGCAGTCGTGCCAGCAGTGGCAGGGCGCGAGGGCTTTGCTGCCACATTGTTACTGGTCGCCGGGCGGGCAGTCGTCGATGCCATCGATGGTTTTGTGTGAGTTGCTGTGGCTGGTGGTCGAGTCCCAGCCAGACGAAGCGGTGCCCTTGCTTTAGCTCCAGGGGAAGTAGAAGCCCTAGTTGTTGTTGGTTTGGCTGCAGTGGAGGGGGCAGCAGTCGATGCAGGTGCACCAGTTGGTCGCAAGCTATTAGATATTCCAGTATGCACCTTTCTTGCAGTACTTGCAACAGGGTTTGGTTTCGGTTTCGGGGCAGTCGTGGATGTCGTGGGTCGCGATGCCGGTCTCTTTGCCGGCTCGGTTGGCTTTTGAGTCGCTGCAGGACGAGGTGCTGTGGTCGTCTTGGGAGCCGGTTTCATAGCAGCTGGCTTGGCCGTCCTGTCAGTCTTCGTTGGCTGTGTTGCTGCTGGCTTTGCCTGGGTCTTGGTCGGCGATGGTGGCTTCTTTTCAGCCGGCTTGGCCCCTGCTTGTTTTTTCGGCCCAGCCTTGGATGGGGACACTTGCGTTGGACTCTTCTTAGGTGCTGGAGATGCTTCTGCCACAGCAGCAGCAGCAACAGTGGCAACAGCAGCAACACTTTCAATGTCAAGTTTTGACACTTCTGGTTCGACAACCGGCTTAGGGGAGGGAGGTTCGGGAGATGAAATCACCTCAGATGTTATTTCCATAGGTATCAAATTAGTGTCAGAAATCTGTTCTTGAGGAGATGCTGGGCCCAGCTCTGAGCCAGAACTGATGCTGATGTTCATTTTATTTGATTCCAGCAAATCTGCAGTTGCAGCACCCAGCAATTGGATGTCTTCTAGGTCCATCGCCTTGGAATCACATGGAGCTGCTAGGACCTCAACCTCTTCACTCTCCTTTGTGACCTTGGTATCAGACTTGGTAATATCAATGGACTCAGAGACAGGAGTCAAGGGGCTGACTTGACTCAAATCCTCCACGTCATTAGCATGGTGAAGATGCAACTCCTGAGGGACAGCAGGAGCATTCTGGTTCATCGAGGCTGTTTCGGGCATGTTGTTCAGGTTCTCCACTTCGGGAGATCGGTGCAATTCTTGTTCTCTGTACACACAGGGCTTGAATTGAGCCTCACTCTGCACTTCACGCAGTGAGTGCAAATTGTCAGGTTCTTTGGCTTTACCTGGGTCACCAAGGAACAGTAGATCTGAGCTCCCCGCCTCGTACTTATGAATGGGAGAGCAACATTCTTCTTCTGTTTGTGGTTGCTGTTCTTCAGATGGTGCCAAATATATATCTGGAATCAGTTCCTGGACTTCTCTTTTCACATCATGTTCCTGGTCTTCTCTTTCCAGATCATGCTCATTGACATCCTTCTCCAGGTCGTGTTGCAGGGCATCCCTCACCAGGTCATGTTCCTGGGCTTCCTTCTCCAGGAAATGTTCCTGGGACTCACTCTTCAAATCATGCTGATCCTCAGTTGGTGTGATATGAGTTGGGAACTGCTCATTGTTCTCAGGCACCTGGTCATTATTTTCAGGCACCAGGAATGGATTGGTGTAGGGTGTTTGGACCTGCATCAGGTCAGGAGTTGGGTACTGGACAACATCCTTGGGTGGAGGGTTAGCCAGCTGCATCCCAAAGGGGTCAGCAGTCTCACGAAGGGACAATGCCTCTATCTCCTGTTCCATGGATCCCAGTGGCGACTTCTCAATTGCCTCTGTGTCGGCTGGGTTGGAGGCATGAGGGTGACTAGGGTAGAATTCGGGTGCCAGGGGAGACAGCTTGGAGAGGGGGGTGGCTTCCTCCTCGCTCTGTGGCAGAATATCTGGCAGGGGCTGGCTGATGTCTCTTGCTGCTGATTCCTGTGCAAGGAACTGTTCCAGCTCTGATTTTGCATGAACATCCTCCTGTAATGACAGAAAAACGACCTATTATGAATATCCATTAAAATGAACTCTAAGTCTCACTTCAATTGTATGGCGATGAAATTGCCATGAGGGTCTTATAGGTTGAACTATTTCCATAGTGGCGAAAATCATTTCAGTGAGATGGGATAAAACAGCCCTGTCAAGATGCTCTACGTGACTAGGAGCCATCAGTACCACAATGTCAGGTAAGGATTATTTTTTTCAATGTCCCAAACTTCAAGCTTAGGACGCATGAACTTCATCGGAGTTTGCTGCAGTAAAACAAAAAATATTAGTTTACAGAGCCATATTATATTCAAACATTCCTAAATAATAACACAGCCTGCTATATCAGGACAATAACTTTCATAAAGATATGACATGAATGTACTAGGGGAGCGGCACCAGTTCGCGAACAGGGATCCAGTTAGCGAACGAGGGTCATGAAATGCGATTTGGTCTTTTGTTTCTCGAGAGTTACACGCTCCAGCTTTTGGTATCTGCAGAAAATGGATTGATTGATTAATTAATGCTAGGGATGGAGAGTGAAACTAGAGTAACAAAAGGCCAAATCGCATTTCATAACCCTCGTTCGCGAACTGGTGCCGCTCCCCTATAGCTAAAAGTTATGTAATCTGGACCTAGAATAAAATAATCCTCACCTGAGGATAGTCTGAGAAACATCCTCTTTCCCAAACTGAGAAAGAAGCACACATCCAAAATGAGAGAGAGTGTAGCTAAATATCCTCAAATTTGTATTGTACTGTTCCTTTTTCATGCGTACATAAACATAGTACCATCCAGCTTGAAGGTCAACCTGATTTTTTCAGCAACCAAAAAAAGTGGAATTTAGAAAATGTTTATAGTGAGCCCTAATGCCTCTGGTAAGGAAAACATGGATTAAAAGGAACTTGCATGAATAAATGACTCAATCTCCAGGGTCTGCAAGAGAAGACATCTACACGCTGGCATGCTGCCCATTATTTTCGCCTCCCAAGACACTCATCCGTTTTTGCCACTAATGAGTCCCCCCTGAATTCCATCCCCACCCCCCCTCCAGTCAAGCACGAGAGAGAGAGAGAGTGTGTGAGGAAAAAAGAAAAAAACAATCCTACCTGGTGATTCATCTGACTGGAGATCTGAGACGTGTCGAGGGGGTTGTTGTGTGACGGCTCCATCTTGAAGTAATTCCAGGCCTCCTCCTCTTCATCTTCTTCATCATCCACGCCAGCTATTCCTCCACCGCTGGCCTCTCCTTCGCCATGATCATCATGATCTTCCTCCGGCAGCGAGTCGATCGCCTCCAAAGCCGATTGCACTGGAAAGGTAGCGAGAAAGTAAGACTTCAGTACGGTAGAAAGAAAATTGCCACAATCTACTTCTCGGGAGTTTCAGGCGTGAAAAAACCCACTAGGTGCAAGTCTAAAAGTGAAAAATGAACATATAATGAATGAATGAAGGAAGGAAGGAAGGAAGGAATGACAATGAAATAAGCTGTCCACAGTTCTTACTCCCAAGGAGACTGTCACACAACATCATCACCATCAGTTAATTGACAGCATCTCCGGAGTTAACCTGTCAGCGACGAATGAAAAACGACAGACACACACGTCTTTAGGCTCAACATAACGGCTCAATTACTCTTCAACCTCTTCCAGGTGTGAGACACACCAAAACGATGTTGAACCGTGGAAAAAGGTACTGAAGGTTCGCCATCAAATCACTGTCCATGGGATTGGGATAAACTAACAAGTGACATACCACCTCAACCTCTGGTTCCATCATTCAAAACAGAATTAACACGTTCGCTGCCGATGACGCACCTCGTCGTTATCCTTTCCAAAGAAACGAACGTCATCGGCAGCGAATGTGTTAAGGGTCTTGAAAAAGGACGTACTCGAGTACCAGCCTCGCAGGAGAACCCAGCCCCATTCCGATCATTATCAGACTGATCGCCAACAGTAGGACGATCCTTTTCTTCCATTGTCATTCCCTCCACATCATACAACTTATGGCAAACTTTCAAAATTTCCATAATTCAATTTTTGAAACGTCCTCTGAAAAATGACATTCAGAAGAGAGGCAGTCTTCGAAGCTATTCCACTTTAAGGGCTCAAATCAATGAAAAAAAGCTGACGTCACACTTCTTCGTCTTCCTAGAGCATACAGTACAGACATGATTGCCTATCAGAGCAAACCTATTCCAAGCAGAGCTAAAACCCACTCTAACTTCCAAGGCCACAGTCATGGATCATGGTTTTTGACCATGGATGTGGAGTCCCAGAAGAACGTTCTGCCGGGTGTCTCAAAAGTCACTGTGCACCCGGTACATATAGAATATGTGAACCAGGTGCACAGTGACATTTGGGGGACCCTGTACTTCGTGAGTTACATATCATACAACTGCTCCCCGTGAGGGGCCCAGAAATGGCATAATCTGAACGGCCTTCATCGTTCCCATATACTCTTCAGTACTTGCGAAAGAGTCTGCCTTGTGCCCATATCTTCAACATTGTAAGAACGTACGGTGACACATCTCATGTCAACTCATTGCCTGACCCTGAGAGGATCTTCCCATCGGAGAGACTGGCCTTGGATAATCGGCACACACATTGTCAGGAAACGATTCGTCATCTTAGTCATATGATGACATCATCTTCCATCTGCCATTTTCCATGTAGATGAAAAAATCGTCCAAGATAGACTGGAAGGAACGAAGTATATAAATCTACTCGCACTCTCTGCAAACAAATGAAAGCTCATAACCAAAAAACAATCAAGGAGAAACTAACACAAATCATTACAAATTCATATTTAAAGTACAACTAATACTGATCTAATACAGTACCTTCCTTAAAAGAGAAATTCAAAGCAGCCCCTTCCCAAGACTCTGCGAGAAGCGGGAACAGAAACGGAAAATTAAATAAACTGTAGCATTTCATGCACTCGGGGAGTACGCGAAATGGATTACGACAGCATCATTAGCAATCATCCAACGCAGCAGCGGATCTAAGTGCCATTCGCGGAAGCGGAACCTCTGGTATCTCCCCTTCGACATCCAGCGCGCCGCCAGCATACGAAAGCAAACGTATTACTTGGCAGCCCTCGCCAGAAAGAGAAATTCCCTCTCTCAGCAGCTTCCATCGTGCGCTGTTTTTTTTTTCTCCACCTCCCAAAAGTGGGATGAGTTGCTTCGAGAGCATCGATGCATTATTCATCCCCGCTGAGACTTGAACCTGGAGACCTAGCGAAATTCAATACGATCAAGAAGGCTATTATCGGTGTCAATGATTGATGACGATAGGAAAAATTTATGGAGTGACGGGGAGAACAGGGGGTTTCTCAGATCGATTGACCCACCGAAATCGTGAGTCACGTTCCAAACTGGCAGCGTGCCATCGAAGTCGTCGTCGTCGTCGTCGTCGTCGTCTCGCCAAAATGTTGTGGTAAAAAAAAAAATTATATTTATAAAATAGGTCAATATCGAATTCAGACGACCTGCCAAGGTGGTGAAAACGGGCTTCGGTGGCCAGAACACCTCGCCCAGGGGGATGAACTTTGGGTAATCCCAACACCACGACGACATCACGGCTCACACGCACACGACATTCACAAATGACTGACAAAAAGATGGGGGAAAAGAACGAGAGACACTGTCGAGCATGGCCGACGCGGCGGAAACACCGGGAGAAAGTACCTTTCTCGGCACAGCGAAATCGATCTGATCCCAAGAGAGATGAAAACCGCGATGGAAGCAGAAAGAAAAAGAAAAACGAAAACCTTGACATGACGTAATATGGGAAAGAAAAATTGTTCCGACAAGGTGACGGCAGAGACACGAAGCAGTTGGAGCAGAACGAGGAAATGACGAATGAAAAGCCGGGGAAAAAAAAAAAACCAACCCTGGCGTGCTCGTTTTCCTTCTCCTTCGGAAGGAACCCGTGGAGGCGAATTAACAGGGAGAGGAATCACGCACAGGCTCCAACCGACTGGGAGGAGCAGCCGAGGAGAGGCGAAGAGAGTGAAAGAGGGCTCCTTCCTCTCTCCCTCTCACAACGATCGTCTATAAAGAAATCCGAGCAGGCGCATTCCCAAGGGAAGAAAAAAAAACTTTCTCTTCCTCTTCCATCTTGCGGAAAGGAATAGATATTCCCAGTGAGACTGTGTGGAGTCGGGGGGCGGGAGGGGGAGGTGGGAAACAATTTTAACTTTCCTCTCCTTTACTTCTATTGCTTATACAATGCGACAAGTCGGGGGCAACCAGCAAGCTTGATATATACAATCGATGCAAATTTATTCTGCGTCAAGGCAGGCACCGCATAGACTCGGACATGCCTTTCCTGTTGAAACACTCCATGCATGCAGAATGAGGATTACTCTTTTGCTCATGTTCTTTCGAACAGAAGTTCGAAGAATGGGGGAGAGGGAGAGGGCCTGAGAAAAGAGAAGATAGCGAGATAAGAGGGGATCACCAGGGCTGGGATTTTTATGCAAAGGCATTTTTTTCCCCAGGGATTTTAATGGAAAATTTTCCCTGAAGTCTTTTTTCTCACTCATGGTAGGTGCGAATTTGAAGAAACAATGCAAAATTTAATAGCGCATATTTTTGCATATATTAACATGACTGCACAAAAATCCATATATTATAGCGAACCACGAGTTAACTGCGCATTTCCACCTTAAAGCGATTAAAAACGCAAGAAACCCCCACCTAAACAAGACATCAAAGCGGGGTCACTTTCCAAATTCCAGGTGTCAAAGGGCGCCTGTGCACATCTCCCTCAATAGTTGCTGGCCGCCAGTTCCTTTGATGAATCCAAGCCGAAGTGCACTTAGTGCACTTCGCCTGCTCGTACAGAAGCATCGCATCAATCTCCATGCCTTTCAACATGCATATTTTATGCACATTTCCAGGACTTCCATCCATAGCAAATTCCTGCCCCTAATGATCACTACGAGACCATCTCCCGAGGAGAAGCAGGGAACATACAGGAATTCCAAATGCAGACGAGAGCGAAAACTCTCGGCTTCCACAGCACCGAGACCGACAGAACTGCCAGATGGAGACGCCGGCCGATTCGGGGTCCGATCCAACATTTCACCAAGGCTATAACATTTCTCAGGGGCATCGCGTCAAGAAATTGCATTACCCCCATCTCTCCCCGAATGCACCATATGCAATTCGAATCGGATAAATTATTCGCTTAAATGATAGAATCACGGTTGTATCGTATTCGTAAAAAAAAAATCATTAAAATACCGTCGTTTCGGGAAGAACGTCCTGAAGAGAGCCCCACCGAATAATCCCATGTCAAGGCTGAGCTCCTTCATCATCGCTCAGGAAACCGCAGCACGGCGCTGGGGCAATTAGCCGATCTCTCCCGCAGAAAAAGAGAAGGAGAAAAAGGCCGGGGGGGCAATTGAAACCATTTAACCACTTGGCTAGAGCAAGTCTGTACCGTCACACATGCCTACAGAGGGTCTGTGAAGATCCATCTCGTCTAATTCTCTCCAAGAGCTTCCCCATTCGCCTTTAACTCGATGAAACTCGTCTGTTATAAAACAGGCATGCCTGGTCGACCTGAGACGACATAAAAGATGGCCAATTATAAACGGAAACCCATTAACGTTGACGGACAAGCACTGTTATGCCTCGTTTGCACCATCATCGTGTTATCATCAACAACTGGCAACGATCAGCTCTTTCGCGTTCGCACCACCACGTTTCGCAGCGACAAGTAATTATAAGGTCACACGCTCAGGACGTGATGCAAGATGTCGGCATGCGCTTCATCTTTGGCAAGGGACTCAAAGCGTCTTCGACCCACCTCTGTTCAAACCTGAAGGAAACAGATTTTCACACCGGGTACAGTGTCCCAGAATATGCCAAGACGGATTCCATCCCATGACAGATACTAGTGCGAACCTCACATCCCTCCAAAAAGAAGGGAACTTCCCTTTTCCAGGTTTTCCGAGGGTCTCGGGTGGAAAAAGAGGAGGACCTTCTATTTCTGTGGATCCGGGAAGATGGCCAAGGGGAACGAGCGAGGAGGCATGGGGGAGGCATGTGTCATCCCCATGACTCGTGGGGGGAGAGGGGATGTTTCTCCCCCGTTCTGTTTTCCACGCGGCCACGTGGCCCACATTACTCAACGTGGAACCAGCCATGCCAGGCTCAATTGGGAAAAATGAGCGGACAAAAAAAGTGAAGGGGGAGTCACTGAACCTCTTATCTGGACACGCTCGCCATGCGCTCGGAGACAAAGGAAGGAGAAGGAATGTGAGCTGACAGAACAGTAGTCAGAAGGAATGCCACGAAAAAAATAACTTATGATCACGAGACGCCACGAAACAAAATAAAACTTCTGCTTACACCTCGCTCCGCCTATCGTACGATCTGGAATGGCAAATTACGACTCCAACTCCATGGATGATCGACATAATTCAATGGCTAACACAATGGAACAATCACAGAATTAACCGCCGTTTCATATCGTTTTTCTGCACCCTGAAATAAATCTGGCAGCGAGGAAAAACATCCAGCTGAGAAAAAAATTCCAGGAATGCATCCGCATGAGAAGCTCCAGCGATTCCAGAGAAACGAGAGGCTATTGTTCCTCCCACACGGTAGACAATCAGCGACGAGAACAGTATCAACAACAACGCCTCCCTCCCCCTAACACTCCAGGACTTTAAAACCAGGAAGTGAACAAGCAGAAGTCAACAAGGACGAAGACGGATGAACCCCACAGCCCCCCCCCCCCCCGCCTCCCCCTTCCAACAGACGCAGGAGGCAAGGGACGACAAGGAGTAAAAATAAAAAAGTTTATCAGGTTCACAACACCCTTTCCACCCTCTGTTCCAGTGCCAACATCAGCAAGAGCGGCAGCGCCGTTTTGCGCTTCACGGCCCTAATTGTCGGGGTTAATCCTCCGAGAAAAACACCCCTGCAATATATACAAGGGAGTTTTCGCAACTTCCAACTGTCGTTGCACGACTCCCATACTCTTTTACAACCAAACAAATTTAGAGTGACAGACGAGAACTATAGCCCGAGCCACGAGAGGACCATCTCGTGATGTGGGCTGTAATACTGTCCTCCCGCTGGAGAAGAGGGCGGCTGTCCCCCACACTTGGAGAAAGGTTCAGGTAAGAGTAATTGAAATGTATTGCCTGGATTGGGATGCACTAATAACATGGACCTGAGGATTCCTCAATCTCAATTAACCCAATTTCACAGCAGCATCAAAGGTCTCCGCCCCTCTCCCGGCCCCTTTCGTAGTATGGCCCATGTTCATTTCTTTTTTTTCCTTTTTTACAAAAATCCCATGGGAACGTCTTCATCAAGGTTCATCACCGCCCCCGCAGAACTCCATCGTGAATCGAAATCAAATCCACTTAAATCCATCTTGTGCTTCTCACAAATTACGCCCCCCGGTTGCGGCCAAAACCAGGGTCAACATCCAGTCGGCAACCGCGGACGCCGACACGCACAGCCAGGCGCGATCGCCAAAAGACCACGCAGGCCGACGCGCCTGCTAACCGGCCGCCCCACCCACCAACAGACAAAAGGGGTGACAGGCGCACCATGAAGATGCCAGACGGTCGGCGCGAGCCGGCACCTCGCCTCCCACTGCTTGATCAGCATCCCGCACTGATCCCCGACCACCATCCCGCTCCCTCCTCCCATACGAAAAGCACAACACTCACTGGGAGATGGAGGAGGAGGCGGGTAACGTGAGATACATCACCGCTCGCACTGCCACTCTCAGCGCGGCATAGCTCGAGGATGACTCAGGGACGGGAACGGAAAAAAAAGGCGAGAGAACCCCCCCCCCCGGTGCACTGACATCCACACACAGACCGGGCGTGAGGACGTCGACATCCCACCGGCCGTTCCGCATCGTGGCCCTGTCACCGGATATGACATGATATCAGGCCCGGGAACATCGCATGGCCTTATCGATTGTCATTAAGGGGAAAGTACACAAAGGACTTCATCCCACACCTCGAGTTTTACACGACTCGCACTTGCGTCTCACACGACCCTACTTTCCCTTACCTTCCTTTGAAAAAAAAGCACCGGGGCTACCAAACCTGGCCCCGAGAGTCCCAGACTCCCAACCACGGCCTCGCAAAGGAAGTGCCAATCACGGTTTCTTCCGAGCGTTCCCGATTTTTCAACTCGTCCTACCGACTTGGGAGACGGGCATAAAACCTGGCTGCACATCAACTTTTGACCTAGTGCATTTTATTTTACTTCCGACTACCGGCTTGTTATGCATCCGCCTGCATGCAAGTGTGTCACCGCATACGCTTCATCTAACGATACAGATATGCTTCTGGTTCAACCAATGCCTCGTTCTCGCCCATAGCCAGGGAAAGAAGGAAACAAAGAGCAATAAAATCAAAAATAAAAAAGGCTCAAGCCGTTTGCGTCAGCAAGCCTCTTAAGCATGCGATAAAATCCAGGAAAAAAATTTATCTCCGAGTTCTGTGTACACTTAGCAATCCCAGATACGACGAACTTCTCATACAACGCCCCATCTCTGATAATGTCTAAAAAAAACAAAGGTCTGACCCACCCTTCCCCACTCGATGCCGAGCACCTTGCCAGGCTTTCTTCCTGCATCCCCTCGTAACGTTGAGCACAACTGAAACTCGCCTGAAACTGATTTTGAACCGACTCGAAAATGCCGAGCATCCACGGATTCATTCGACTAATTGGTTCTGAAGGATGGGATCCACCTCGAGAATCGCATGGACCAAAGGGTAACTATCCCCAATCCACGCATCTACAACAAAATCACTGCTTATTGCCCCCACAACCAACATTTACTCGTGACGTCCCTTCGCAGCCTGATAAATGCCTATATACAAACGTAGCCAAGAAGAGCGACGGGAAAAAATTTCGCAACTGAAATGGAAAACGAGTCGGAACGGACGCGAAGTCGACCCGAGAGCCCTGCCGCCTCTGTAAGCAAATCCTACAGGATTCTGCCAATGTCGTGCCATGCCACGGCGGCACAGGCACGACACAGTGGCAGCTCCATGAATCAAGTCCCAGATTCCCAGAGCGGGCCACAGGAGCAGGAGGACACTTCCCTCCCCACAGGGTCAGACACATCAACCAAGCTAATTCAGGAAGTACGCGATTAGCAAAATTACCCAACCGATGAAATCCAAACACTCGCTCCGAGGAAGTGCACTGAAGATAACGAGGACATCCACTCCGGTTTTCGAAACCTTCCGAGAATCCCCCAGCAAAGAAACTGGATCCCGAGCTTTTCCCAGGGAAGGCCGGGGCCGGGATCGGGTGTATGATTGATATACACCCACTCAATGCAAGTCTCGTACAGGCGAGAGAGAATGCATGGCCGGAATGCTAACACCTTTTTTTTCCCCAGGAATTCCCTCCCTCCCTTTTACCCTTTCAATTGCGTTTTCACTTGTCGCCATTCAAGGCTCCGTTTGCAGAACATCATTAAGAACCGAGGCAATCTGCAATCCCCACGTTCGTTGCCATGGCAACAGGTATCAGATATAGCACTGTTTCTCATAGGAACCAAGCCTGGACAGTTCCAACGACACGACATCCAGTCTCTCGCTTATGACTCTGTGGGTGGAACATTTTTGGCTGCGGGTGGAACATTTGCGAAGTTACCCGTGACCCAGGCACTACGAAGACCTCCACAAGTACAAAGGCACGATCGGAGACCACTCATATAATCATCAGACCCCCCAGATAGACTGGATCCTATAATTAATTCAAAGAATGTAAGATAATAAATAATCAAAGAAGGCGCCGAAACTTAAGCTGAACCGGCATCGTCGAGCAATTTCCTTCCCTAACTTCAGCACCCTCCACAGCGGGTCGTTCACTCGAAGCAGTGGCGGATCCAGGGGGGGGGGTTGGCATAATTTTTTGCTTTTTTAAGAGGAAGGTAAGAGAAAGTAGGGTCGTGTGAGACACAAGTGCGAGTCATGTAAAACTCATCCCCCCCCCCCCCCCCCCCCAAAGAAAAAGGCTTGTATCCGCCACTGACAAAGCATCTGTCACCGGCCGGGGTCAGCGAGGATAAGACATTCACCTTGAAAAAAAAAAAAAACTTTTTGTTTTGTTTCATCCCTTAGCAGCGGCATAGAGGAGCCGGACTGGGCGGGCAGGGTATGATTATTGGCCGTAATTGAGGGAATCGGGGAAGCGGAAGTAGTTCCCAGTTCCTCCCCCAAAGGCCTCTATATAACAGAGAAAACAGAGAAAGGGACTTCCGGACGAGGATCCTTTCATAACCAGACCATCACCGCCTAGATTTCCGCCGACAGGGTTGTCAGACGGTCTCTTTTTTTTTGCCAGAAAACCAATATCAAAGCAACAAGAAAAAAAAACCCTGAAACTAATCTGAAACTGATTTGAGAACTTCATTCATTTAATTAACATTGACTCCCAGTTTAGCATTTACCAGTTTACATTCATAATCATGAGCTTCCAGGACCCGATGACCACCCGCCCTTTCGGCCGAACTTCACACAAAAGAATTTAAGAATTAAATTAAGAATTAAATTAAGAATGTAAGAATTAAGAATTTAATTTCATTTAAGAATTTCAAGTAATCGACTACTTTAAAATTAAAGAAAAAAGAAAAAAAAAGAATTCAAGTCGTCCATTGGGATTTCCCTGATATAGCCGGAAATCCCAACAGCAGAGATACAAATTAGCCATCGAGCAGCCTTGCCTCCAAAAGGGTTAAATGCCTCCACGAGTGTCGACACCTCCCCTCTCTTCCCTGACCCCCAAAGACCCTGCCGGGATCGCAATCCGGCGACCGCCGCAAAGCGACAAGTGCCGGCACTCGCAGTTGAACGTCCTTCGTGTGAGAAAAGAAAGACACACGTGACGCCACCACATCATCATGCCCTCATTCCCGCCAATCCACGCCCAACCTGGCAAAGGCTCCCCCCATTTGATCGCATTGCCTCAACCATCGTTTTCCCCGCTATCAAAGCGACCTCTCCACCTACGTGTTTTCTTCAAGTACCTGCGCTTTTCGGGCGTTCGTTTCGACATCGATAACGACAATCCGACAAAGGCGGATGATGAAACAGTGAAATCTACCTGTCTTACGCGGGTCAAAACGTAACTCCAATCATACTCTTATCGTCATTTGAGAATGTGCAGGAATGGCTCCGTGATCTCGTCTACTGAAAGTAAACCATTTTTTTTTTAGCACTTTTCATGATGAATGAAATACGGCCGCTTGAATGAAAATGAAAGCACAAAAACACAGCATAAAGGAAAACAGGAAATGACAGAAGCTTCATGCCATTAAAATAAAAGAAGAAAAAACAAGGAATTCTGTTTTTATGTTAACCATGGAGGCATGGAATATCGTCAGGCCTCGAGTACAAGAGGTTCCTTAATTTTATCTGAAATGAAGTTCTTAATGCTAGAAATTCCAAGCCAAGGGCAATAAAATTTAACAGCCGAACACGGGCGACACGGTTAAAAAAAAAAATACGAACGGAAATCTCAGTTCATATAACCACCACAAGGACTTCGGTCGACTTGAGCTAAAACTTGAGCCTTTGTCAAAATTAATCATGCGGCCTATCCAGGACTTTGCATTCTTCTATCCAACAAGTACATGTACTTAGAAACTTGTCAGTAAACCCAATTCCTTTCCGAATCCCAAAAGGTGCACCGTCCAAGCACACGAAACCTCGAAGCAGGCCACGAGAGAGGCCAAAGGAGAGGATCAGAAACAGGCAAAGGGACATTTTCAGGGCTTTCCGTATACTCGATGAGAAACATCCATTATTTACGAAGCCATCTCGCCTACCAGAAAGGGATCGGACGCGACCAGCTTAAAATAATGGAGACGCGCGCCCGATCCCATCCCATCCATCGACTCGAGAGGGGGTCCTCGGTAATCCCGTTATATGCACCTTCCCCCCCCCCCGAAATGGAAGGGGGGAAGGGACCCCTCTCCCTCCCCATTCAGGGGGATCAAAGAGTACAACGCATTCCCGAGGGGGGAATCGATCGGCCATAAACGGACATCGACTCATTTCCCCTGAGAATCTCCCTTCCCCTCCCCTCCCCCCCCCCCCCCCCCCCCCCCAACCGGGGAGAAGGCAGTTAATGGGAAAGGCATAAAAGTGTTACGACACCGAAATACCGGGAACATACGCAATNCCCCCCCCCCCCCCCCCCCCCCCCCCCCCCCCCCCCAACCGGGGAGAAGGCAGTTAATGGGAAAGGCATAAAAGTGTTACGACACCGAAATACCGGGAACATACGCAATCGGTTCTCCGATATTACCCTAGGTCTGTTGGGAATTGAATAGAATGAGAATTCCAAGGCAATAACAAAGCCTTTGAAGAGCCTTCCTGGATCAGGTTTCGCTCGCAATTGAACTGGAAATTCGAACTTCCTTTATACCATACCAGACTTCCTTATGCACGCAGCATAAGCCGATCCTATTAAAACTAAAACTTTGCCCCTCACCATCTACGCTACTACCCTCTCCCCAGTCCGAGGGGAATAATTTCCCCAAAAATATCGTTCCCGACTTCAGAAGAGACGCAAAGCCGACAACATTTCTGGGAAAATCCATTCTCTCCCTCTCTCCAAGTCGAATTGCTATGTTGAATTTTACAGGAAAAAGTGTCGCCGCTTTCAAGATAGGAATAACTTGATTGACACACCTACGCAGACCCTGCAAAGAACCTAGATCAAAATAATACGATGCTACCCACACAGACTTCGGTAAACGAAGCTCATGACCATGGTCCCGCGATGCCAAGCGAGCCAATTGGGCACGAAAAACACAATTTCCAATTGAATAGGAAAGGAGGGACGCCAATCAACTTTTTCATCTTCGCCGAGAACCATCCCCAAATAGAGTCAGCTCTATATGCGGAAGGTATTAGAGTCGGCACAATGGGAGGCAGGCAGATGAAAATGGAATCGCTCATCGACTGACCGCCTCCCCCGCAGCCGTGACGGACAGATCGAGTGAAAACCGAGTGAAAACCCCCAGAACCCACGAAGGGAAGGTCCGGGAAGGCCTCGACCAACGACCACCCCCGCTCACGATGAAGGAACTGACCTTCTTCGGGCGTCGGCTGCTGCTCGATGTCCTCGTCATCGTGGACCTTCATAAACTTGGCGAGCTGCCTCCGCTCCTCCTCCTCTTCGTCCAGTTCCGTCTGAAGCGGGGCGGGAGGAGCGGCATCGGGCGGAGCGTCCCCGCCCGGCCCCACCTGGAATCCGTTGAACTTGTGGGGCGGCGAGGCTCCCATCATCCCGTACTCCATCTCGTAGCGCAGCTTCATCGCCCGTGCCCACTCCGGGATGTCCTCCCGCTCGAACCCATTCTCCTCCAGACCGGAGGCAGTCGTCGTTCCCGGGTCTGCGGCAGGGGGCGCAGCCATCAGGCAGGGGTCCCGCAGACAGACCAATATCACGGTGATGTTGTCAGTGGAGCCGCGTTGCCGAGCCGCCTGCACCAACGCCTTGCTCGATCCCTCTACGTCACCTGTATCACGAATGAGAACAAATTGACTTGCATCGCCGATTCCTCCAGCAGATCTACTTATGCGATATAACTAACAGTTAGGGATAGGCCAAACTGGATAATGACTCTCAATTTTAGATAGGTATTTCTATTCCCCAGTCCGAAAACTGCAACAAATAGTTGCATGTAATTTCAACAAAATCCCTCAAGACTACACGACAGTAGCAGCCAGGCTCTCTACGTCCTGCGCCATTTTTGCTCCCTACCAACAGGTAAAACGGCGCTAGCACTGAACTGCTGCAAAGAGTGAATAAAAGCTAACGCGGTTACGCATCGCTCTCATAAAATGTCATTCCGTCGTTGAGGCAGGGACTGGAGGAAGGCAATCTAATTCCTTCCATGCCTACAGGCACATCAAAAACGATGAGATCCGACAGTAAGTCGCATGGACTCCGAAACAGCCAAGTCCGCTCACAGGAGAATCAGGGGGGAAAATCCTCAAAACTGCGCTAATGGCGAAAGCGGCTGAGCCCAGGCCTCCTCCGCTCCACCGAGGCGCGACCCGAAATTACCGTGGAAAACACAGGAATCCGGGCCAGGTGGATTCGGAGAGACGAGTGCCAGGCATCCCATATTACTCATCTACAGACAACTTTTTGGCAGCGAGTAACGCAAGCTTCCCACCTCCCGCTTCCTCCACCCACGTACGCCGGAGTCCCGATGTTTGCATGCCGGACACCGCCGAGCCATAACACCGGCGTGGCCCCAGCAGAGCAACCCATATAAATATGAATGCAGGGGGAGATCGTAACATAAATAATTACGCCATGACTCATACTCATCAGAGTATGATTGCGAAAATTCACCCCGAAACCAGTCACTCGTGCGAAGAGCCCTTCCTTCACGGTAGAAGAAGCCAGAGCAATTTCTCATTCCCAGCCTTGCCCCACTTCCAGCTTCCACCTTTCCTCAACCTGACCATCCCAAGGAACACCGGAAGCAGACAGCACCAGGCACGCAACAGCCCCCCCCCCCCCCACCCCCCCCCCCCCCTTTCCCCCCCCCCCCCCCCGGCAGCTCGGATGAATGAAGTCGATTGCTGGCGCTGGGCTCTTTTAATTACGGTATCTTTTAATGTCGGCGTTTTTCGCCTAGGTGGCGGTGCAGTTTCTCTCCTTAGCCGATGTGATTAGGCGTGGAAATATAGGGAATAATTTTTTTCGATTGAGAACTTCGTACCAAGTTGAGAGAGGCAGATTGTCAGGCTTTGAATAATGAGGATCTTCATATTGATCCCGGATTTTATGAGGCATCCGTGGCGTTGTTGTGGTTCGTATGACCAACGACCAACTAACGAGTGGGGACTAGTCAATTAACATGCGTCAGTCGTTATACCCAGCAAATGATGGCAATGTATGACAACAATAAAATTGATAGGCTGCTCCTGGAATATTTATTGAACCAACAACCGGTCACGCATCGTCTGCGACGGGCGTGAACCAGTTTTGATAGCCAGTTTGTTCGATGTGAGCAGCATTTTATTTTCGAACTTGTCCTCGCGCTGTCAGTTCGTGAAGCTATGTATTTCATGTGGGATAAAACGTTCGCGAGGACAGCGTAAACCCATGTCCATATTCCCAACCACTGGCAGCTAGTCATTAGCGCGAAAATAAATTGGCACTTAACAATTTCCCCAAGGAATTAACGTCGGCTGCTGGGTTCAGCAATCTGTTACTCACCATTTAATATCAAGTTCTCTTATTAGGTCCATTAGCGTAAGATAATTGCTAAGGCCTGGCGTCAGCTCACCTGTACGTAATTGCATCCATCCTTGAAAGGTCACCGAATGGATTCACGATGGAATCCGAGAGCGAGAAGCGCGTGATGCGCGTGAATTGTCGATTCCAGTGGCACAAACAAAGGCATTTTCTGTCTGAGGATGTGGAGGTTTCTGACCCAGGCATTGTTTTCCTCTAATAGCCCCCCGCCGCCGTGCTGTGTGAGTGAATGTGGAAAAAAAAAAAGAAACTTCTCTCCCCCCCCTCTCTTCCTTTCAGTACTCGCCTGATGAATTAGGTATATAGAAAGTACTGGGGGGGAGAGAGAGGGCGCCACAAGGGGGACGGTTGGGTAGGCCGGAGCTATGCTATCTTTTCTGCTCCGCCGTGCTCCGCTGCCTCCCGTCAAGGTTACAGGCGCTGTGACGGGGGGAGGGGGGAGAAGTTGGGGGAGGGGAACACGTGAAACGCGTGGAAAAGGGAGGAAATTTAAATGTGACCTGTCGCCGATGCTGTAATTTTCGGTGGGGGCGTGGACGGGGTTTTTTTCATGGTTCGTGAGGGATGGGGGCGACGATGTGGCGGCCGTTGTCGCCGTGGTGGAGGGCGATTTTGTGTTGATGCATGGCTGGAAACCGGTCTGGGGCCGGTCGGAGTCGGATGAAAAAGAGGCTTTTGACTTCTTCATTGCATTCCAGGCCGCACCTCCCCAGACGCGCCTCTTTCGGTTATAATTGAATTCTTTTGCAGAGCCCCCCATTAAATTACGGTCGTTTTCCGTGCACGTCTTCATCAGAGGATGGAGGGAAGGGGGGCGGGGGAGGGTGGTCATTATCGTCGCATGAGTCAGGGGGGGGAAAGAGAGAGAGTGAGTCTGGCTCAGATCCTCCAGGCGAAGATTGGGCTCCCGATAAGCAGCGGAGGGTGGAGGAAAGATGACGCCGACAAAAGGGGCCTCTCTCTCTTCCACCTTCAACATACGCGGAAGGAGGAAGGAGGAGATAAGGAGGTCGTAATGGGTGCTCCACCAGGCATTCCCGGGCCGGCTCTGAAACGAAAACCGCCACGCACGAAGACCAAACAACGACCGAGTCTGAAGAGCGAATCGGACAATCGGTGCAGTGTACTGCATTCTTTCCCAACCCCATCACCGACGAAAGGGTGGAACGAAAAAAAAAGAAAGACAAATGGACTTCCACTCCGGGTAATGGAACGGAAACGAGGAAGCAGAGAAAGGCCGAAGAGAGATTCCCTCAAATATGCCTAGAAAATCATTAGTCAACCTCAAACGGGGGAATATCGTGTCGATGACGGAAAGAACTCGTTATGCATGACAATGCAAGCTCATTTCCGTATTCCCTAATTGAAAATTCATGCCAGGAACCGACCTCATTAATCTGCTCATTAATCTGTGCCTACACGACGGGCGGGGCGAAGAAACCCAATCCGACCTGCCACACTTCAGACCGACAGATGAGAAAGCGCGGAAAATTTCAATCCGAAAACTTTCAAAACTGCAAATAGACTCACTTCCCTTAAAACATGCACCCTTGCCACACACGACAAAGATGCACGACAAGAGCAGCGGTCAGACGAAAGTATGACACGGCAGAACAGCGAAACTCCGAAAGCAACACACAACGATGCATAAAGAGCAATCCACGTCCACCTCTTAAAAACGAAATGATGGATTGTGCACGGCTTGAGCCGAGTCATGCGAGTGGCAAAAGTAACAGACAACCGCTAGCACATACAAATGAAGCAGATCCAAACCACGATGCAAATGGAGATGCAATGATGCAAACTGACCACAGATGGCCGGGGGAGGGACACAAACCTAATGGATTCTCGGTCGGGAGGTGCCCAGGGGAGGACACAGGACATCTGGGATAATTCAAATGCTCCACAGCGCGAAAACAAAAAATCGAAACCTCATCTTACACTGCATCGATCCCACGAGACGCGGCGCCCCCCTCCCGACAGGCAGCGCCATCTGCACCCCGACGAAACCCAGCATCTCACACGACGTGATGCAAGGGAAGAATGAACATGATAGGGGGGTTTGGTCCGAAATAGACGACGGCGAGACCGGATGAGGTGGATTTTCAATGAACCATGGAGATAGGGAGGAAGGGGAAGGAGGGGAGGCGAAGGAAAGGAGCCCCAAGGGGAGAACATCCGATACACTAGGCTGCACCCCCCTTCCACCACCATTGTAACGCATTCGGCGCCATCCAAGCACCTCCCCATTACCACGAGGATAGTGAGACGGCGTTATCCGGGCCCGACACGCGTAACTCCCCGGCAAAACCATGAAGCTCTCCGAAGGCTGCATTCAGCGGTGGTGAAGTTTTTACGACCGCTTCACGGTCAGCCATAAAAAAAATGTCTGGAACTTGCTCAACCATAAGGTTACCCGCGAATGCGTGAAAAAGAAAATAAATTCACGGCGATTCGCAACAGTAATATCGCAATTCTGAGAAGCTGAACTTGGGCTCGCCTTCACGCCTAGGAGAAACGTCAACAACGCAAAATGATAAAATAATGTTTCTGCACAATATTTCCGGCTCAAACACGACACCGAATCCTATTAATATTGCAGAACTCGACTAATGTCGGCTTTAACGACAACCCCCCCCCCCCCCAAAAAAAAAAAAAAATTAATAAATTCATGGTAAGTAGGAAAATAAATGAAAAANCCCCCCCCCCCTCGTACCATAAGCTTTACATCGAAACCAAACCAAAAAAAAAAATTAATAAATTCATGGTAAGTAGGAAAATAAATGAAAAATGTTAGCAGATTTATTTAACATAATTCTCAGCTTTCTCTGCCAATTTCCTCAATCCTTCATCGGGGTTCATTCACACCAGCAAGCTGCTCCCCTCTCATAAAAACTCTCCATCAAGAGCCCAACCCACAGACCGGCCTGTGAGGCGATTAAAAGCGACCAAAAGAAATTAAGAAAAAAAAAAGCTAAAAAAAAAAAGAGAAAACCCAAAGACAATCCCCGGAGCCCGTTTTCCGATCGATGCACTTGACTATCTGAAACGTGTCAATTGGCCATTACTCAAACGTGTGAAAAACGAGGATACGGATCCCCGCGCAATGGGGTCGGATCAACAACAACAACCGTCTCCGAACTGGCGTGTGTTTATTGCTCAACTGACCACGGAGGTCCTTTAACCGCTCATTTCCCTGCTTAACCACTCATGGTTCCTTTCTGCGGGGAGACGAAAACAACCCGAGCCCGTCTTGACCACGTTCTCTTCCTAAAGAGCCTCTTCAGCAAGTCATCAATGACTCGAACGTGCAGGAAACCATGCAAAACTACCTCAATTTCTTTACGCAAAAAAAAAACGAGAATCGTTACCTCACGCCGACGTAAGCCATTAGGAGAAAAATTAGGTTTTAAAAAAATTGCTCGTTCTCCTACAAGACGCCAGCTGCGAACTACACGCTCCAAGGTGTGTCCGCACAGTCCTACATACGCCCAGACTGGGTCACGCATTCATTTCGTTCATCTGGCCCGATCTTTTTGAGACCCGAAAAAGGAAAGATTTTTCAGAAGCGCCGGGGGGGAATGCACCGCGAGATGCATCATGGATGCATCACTGTCAACGCAGCTGACCTTTTGACGTCCCGGGGCACGCCTTCCATGTCATAGGCCCTTCCATCCCGGAAATTACAGCTCGGCTACACCATGGGTGCCATTAGACATCAAAAAACGCTTCAGGTCAAGGGAAACCGAACGCGGGAAGGTCCCAAGCCGAGAGAAACATTGCAATTTCGAATCGTGACGTAAACAGTTAAACTTCTGTACATAAGTAAATTCATCTCATTTGCAAGAGGGAGCGAGAAAACATATACAAGGTACATTAAAGGAGAAAAAAACGATAGCCAACCCTGAGAAGAAGAAAAAAAAGACACGACACACAACAGAAAGCAATCAAAAGACGCAACCCTAACAAAACATGAACTTCGACCCGACCGAAAATTACAGTAGCATGCGAGGGAGCCTCCCCCCCACAAATCACCCCACAACACACCACCCATCACCCCACAACACACCACCCGCCACCCCAAAGAAATCCCCCGACAGCTACAGTGCAACGCCTTCCGAGACATTCAAATGGGCACGGCCCATCTCGGGAAGAAAAACGACTCCATTGTCATCCCTTCACGATGCCACCCACGAGCAAGCCATCATCCAGTTCCATCTAGCGCGCCATGGCCGCATGCCATCTCGTCCCGTGGCATGCCCGCCTGGATGTTCTCTACAACCTCCGGCCCGTCTGGGACGGCTCTACCTCATAACCTCTCGTTTCTCCGAGCAACACAATCTCAGACCAAATATTATCGCATGAAATCAGCCATAGCCACACGTATGATGATACCGACAAAATTAAATATACAATATTGGGAATAGGCCAAGCGTGACAGGGACGTGATGAAACAATGCGATAAATATGGAGATCTGAGATGCAATTGAGATATCGGAGAATCTCAATGAGATAGAATTCAATTAGACAGGGAACAAAAAAAAAAAGGAACACCGCTAAAAGCCTAACTGGACGAAAATTCCGAGAAACGAATAAAAAAAAAAATCCCACCAAACCAGATCCCACGACAAAACCTTTCCGCACAAATTTCGCCTCAGAGGCGGCCGACCTTGAGGACCAGTCTCATTTCGGGGGAAACAATGCCTCCAGAAAGAGCTCGTGACCGAGGGGGAAGAGAAAAGGCCATCGGAGGTGAGAAAAGCCCCCACGTCGGATGGGGGTGATGGGGAGGGGGGGAAACGAAACAGTGAAGAGGTGTGGTTTCAATGGAAACAATAGCCAGGGAATGACAATGCGCTTTCCAGGCTTCAGGCTTTCCTCCTTTTTTTTCTCTCTCTTTCCCCCCCCC